TCCTTCTCCCCAGCACATCCTCTCCAAAGCACCAGTTAAACATCTCCTTCAGAGCTCCCTTCCCCTCAGGGCTGGTTGCAATCAAACTGCCTGCGCCCGAGGCCAGCAGGCAGCCGAGCGCAATCCCCAGCGCTCTCTTCCAGCGGTATCACGAAGCTGCTAACTACACCGTATCCTAGAGCAGGCAGACTCTCCCTAGAGCTATGTTTATCTCATTACTGTGCTTCCGCTCATTTTGCCTTATGTACCTTCCTCCTTTTTAAAGAAATCACTTTAAAATGTGCATCTGCAAGCTCTACCTTCTACAGTTACTGGAGCTCTCCGTAGACATTTCCTCCAACTGTTTGTAATTACCCTAATTTGCCACACCTGCCAGTGACCTCCTTGTTAATAAAATTATTTTGCTCTTGTTTAGCTCCTCACAGTTTTCAGGTGTGAAGCAGGAGCTAGCTGCTGAAGGGAGGCTCTGCATGGTGCCTGCTGCTCCTCCCTGCTCTACCTTCTACAGTTACTGGAGCTCTCCGTAGACATTTCCTCCAACTGTTTGTAATTACCCTAATTTGCCACACCTGCCAGTGACCTCCTTGTTAATAAAATTATTTTGCTCTTGTTTAGCTCCTCACAGTTTTCAGGTGTGAAGCAGGAGCTAGCTGCTGAAGGGAGGCTCTGCATGGTGCCTGCTGCTCCTCCCTGCTCTAAGCCTCGCCAAAGGGATGGGGCTGGGGATCAATATCCCACCTCATCAGGGCTTCCAAACAAATCTGGCTGTGCCTATAAACCCCCTCCTAATCCCCATCTGCCTGCTTCCTTGCAGCCTGCAGAACGAGCAGCCCGCCTTGGAGGCTGGCAGGCTCTGAGCTCCAGCAGCGACACGGGTGTCCGAGGGATCTGCGTGCTGGCTGTGAGGGGTTCCGAAGGTGCTGCCTTCTCCCACACCCCAGTCAGGCGACAGCTTGTTGGGAGATGGGCCAGCAGATCTGGCTTTCGGGAGCATCATCGCCCTTCTTACCTCGGGTGTGCGCAGCTGCTAACCCAGCATCAGCCGCAGCCTGTGGGCACGTCCCTCCCAGACAACCTAGCTCTTCCATTATGGGGCAGGCTTTTGCAAGGCTGGCCTTATGCTGTGAGACATCGGTACCAGCAGCCGTTTAAATAACTGCTGGGGTGACAAAACAGCCCTCTGCACAAATCCTGTGCGACTCCCGTACAAGCAGGCTAAACAAGCAAGTATTGGATAAACGAGTCTACTCTTTGCGCTAAAATATGTAGAAAAGACATTGCTCTTTACAAAAGCTCTGTGCAGGAAACCTCCCTTTCGCAGCAGCTGCTGGGCAAAGGACAAGAAGATGAGGGCCCTGGGCTTTTGCTGGAGCAGAGCAGCCTCTCCCAGTGGGTCCCTGCCCAGCAATCGCTCCTTCCCGCCAGCAAAGAGCCAGAGGCACTCGTCTCTTCTTACCTGGCATCGAGGAACCTTGATCTTAAAATCATTACTGCTTCACAAGTACTTTGTTTGAGTTGCATCTGGATGGAGCTGAATTTTCGATGAATGATGCCCACCATCCTTTCAATCTCCTTGGGAGAAATGGGACGTGTCCGGCTTTGTTCTCTGAGAAGGTTCATCACATGTGTGGTAAATTCATTACATGCCTGCAAAGGAAGGAGAGGCTTAGAAATTGTTTTGTGTTGTCCCACAAGGACACAAGCTCAGGCCTGGCTGTTGGGGGGAAGGCAGCACCGTGGGGGGCTGGGGGACCCTCGCACAGCCCCATTCCCTCTGCACGTGTGCGGCTGCAGCAGCCAGGGGAGCCGAGCAACCGCCGCACAGCTCCTTCCATGCTTATCCCTTTCAACATCCCCATGTCCCCAGCCAGACCACCGTGGAGAGGAGCGGCTGGGATCGGCGCGTGTAATGGCTGCGGCAGGAGGAGGATGTGAGCGGGGACCAGCACACACTCAGTAGCCAAGTGAGCAAAACCTGGGAAGGGCTGCCTGTCCTGCAACCCTGTGAGCCGTGGGCAGGCAGCAGGCAGGGTCTACAGCCCACAGCAGGTGAGGAGCTCTAGACCTTTCTGAAGCACCTTGTGCATCCCCTTACAGGGTGGGTTTCAGCAAAGCCATGCCCGAGGCTGGCCCGCGCCACGCCACCGAGGCGCTGAA